TCTCTCTCTCTCTCTCTCCAGGAGTCAGAAGCCACTTCACGGTAACAGGGGTGGGACTTCTAGTTTGTGTCTGATGGTTGCACAAACTTGAGAATATACTTAACACATTGCTCATTTTAAAGGATGCGTCTTGATTGTACATGAAGCAGGCTGTTGTTTTGTGCCACTGACCTGCTTTTGACTCACAGGGACAGAGCACAGTGGCCCCACAGCTGTTATGGGAGCAAACCACCAAGGTTTTATTTCTCCTATGAACGAGGTGGTGGGTTTACACTGTTGGCCCCTTGAATGCTTAACCAATGCGTTACTAGGGATCCTGCGGGACTTACATCTCAATTAAAAAAAGGATGATCAAAGAAATGTATGAGTAGGATGAGCAATCTCCTTCTGTGCAAATTGCCGCCTCTGAAAACCTGCTGGAGGGTCAGCTATGGGTCAGTTCTGATTCGGTGGTACACAACAACATGGAGAGCTTGCAGGTGGCTAGGCCTCACAGTGGAAGCTGTTGTCTATTGTCAGCGTTGTGTGCCGTTAAGTCGGAACCAACCCATAGCTGACCCTCTGACAGTTTTACAGGGCAGTAAATCGCATGGGGAGGAGACTGCCATCTTTCTCCCTCAGAGCTGCTCATGGATTCGAACTGCCTGACACTGGGTTGGCAGCACAACTCCTTTTATATGGCCACCAGAGCCCCTCCACAGCAGAGGATTGATCTAGAATGGGCTGGGAGTCCAACTGTTTAACAAGCTTCCCAGGGGACACTGAGGTGGCCCTCACAGGCTGACAATTTGGAAACTGGGTGTGCATGAACCACTTGCTGAATAAAGCCCAGGATTTCCTCCTGCAAGTCTGTGATGGGTCTCAAGATCCAGAACTTCTAACAAAAGCCTCATTATGCTGATGTTCCTTATGCAGCAAATCTTGGGGCGCAGGAGGGGCTGCTCCAAACCCCCACAACTCTAGTCCCTTTCCTCTCTCAGCCCCAGGGTTACCCTTGAGCCCGCCAAGCAGCTCTGTTGTGGGCCAGCAACATGCCTCCATCCCCAGACGGCAGAGCGTCAACGCAGCAAGAGGCCTGGGATGGGGCCTCACTCACGGGCTTCGACACTTCTCTGGGGCGACTGTCCTGGGGGACTTGGGCCAGCTCAGAATGCTCAGGGCAGAGCCAGGTGGAACCGGTACCACTCAGCCTCAGAATGACTGCTCAGTGGACCCTTTGTCCCCAGGTGGGGGTCCCTGGTGCTCCAACTGCCTCCTTCACGCACCTGGGCTCGCTCTCCTCTCCTCAGCCCGCCGCCCTCCCTGCAGCCCTGTGGGAACCACGGGGCTGCTCCTGCACCCCTAGGGGCTGCCGAGCCTGCCCAGCAGTGCCAGGTTGGCTAGCTACCTGCAGCAGCCCCAGGTGAGAGCTGGAGGATTCTTTCAGGGAGGGCCTCCCTCGGAGGGAGGCTTGGCTCAAGAAGGCTCCCATTCTCCCTGGGCCATGGGCACACGCTGGCAGCAATGACATCTATCTGTGTAAACGTCCTATCACTCAGAAGGGGGCTGCACATTTCCCCAGGGGACAGGGCCAGTCCATTTTCTGTTAGGGGTCCCCATGGTGCATAGCAAAGTGCCTGGCAACCGGGGAGCTCCGGAGCAGAGGCAGAACGGCTCAGAATGGCATAGAGAACCTTGTGCTTCAGAGAGAAAAATTTGGGGCAACAGGCTGGCCCCTGAATCTGGACTCTCCCTATGCTGTGTGCTCCACCTGAGACTGTTCTATTGATGTACAGATGGAGGCCTGCACACACACACACACACACACACACACACACACACACACACAGCTATGAGGAAGGCAGGAGCAAGCTGCAGGGGGATGGGTGGACACACACATCGACATGTATGTACATTTATGGGCACAGAGCCCATCGAGTTCACCCCAGGCTTCAGGACCAGGTCTTGAGGCACAGGAGGGAGACGTGATATCACGAAGGCGCATCCTCCATCTCGCATCCCCCATCCCTCCCTGGACCAGAAAAGCTCTCCATCTATCAGCCTCCACACAGGTGACAACCCATCCCCACTCACTGGGCACTTTCCTGAAGCTGCCTAGCTCTGGCCAGAGGTTTGTGGGTGAGGCCTTTGACTTGACACCAGAAAAATAGGCCCATTGAGCAGAGAGAGCTGAGGAGTACTCAGACCTTGGGGCGCCCCTGGCAGGCCAGCCCTACAGATCTGCAAGTCATCACACACTGCCGAGCCCTGAGCCCAGCGGCGCTGATGGAATTAGCCAGAGAGCAGGTTCATTTGCACACCCATCTCAGCCGTCACAGCCCACGGAGGGGCTGCCAGGCGTCACGGTGGATACTCAGGGCTCTCGCTCCACAGCCAGTACTGCTCGCCCAGAGGCTTCCTCCTGAGCCCCTCGCTGACGTCCGGGTAACTGCCACCACCCCACCCCCACGTGCTGCCTGAACGAAAGGGAAGATGCGGAGACAGACAAGAGGCACCCTAGACCAGCACATCACTGAGTTCAAGACCAGCACACGTCCCTTAGTACACAGCCCCACTCCCCTCGTTCTCTGTGGGCTGGAGGTTTTTTAAAGGCTGTTTTATGTAATTTACCACTAACCAGAGTTCTTTGAGAGACTCTGAAACTGCAAACATTTTGTCAACACCTCATCAAAAGCAAGAGTTGCCTGCCTTAAAGGAAGCCCACGTGTAGATCAACTGGAAGCGTCTTAATTGAGAAAAGGCTCTTTCTGGGCTGGGCCCCACCGGCCTTACAGGGCTCTGCAAGTGGGCAGGGAGTGGAGAGACCACGTGGGCAGAGCTACTTAGAGCCCGCCTTGGGGCCCCAGAAAACAGGGGCAGGCCTCATTCCTTTTGGGCTCTTCAGTCTTCTAGCTTCTGGAACATTCCAAATATTTGCATACACGAGAACCTCTGAGGATCTAGTTAAAATGCAGATGCTGACCGTGACCATCCCAGGTATGGTCAAGAGTCTCCATCTCTAGCCAGCCCCCAGGTGACCACTGTTAGCTGCCTGAGGGGCCCTCAGCACCACCCCCAGCCCTAAACGAGGGGGTGTACACTTGTGTCCCCAGAGGGGGCTCACTGTAAAGGATATGAATGAACCAGGATCTTCACCGCTGCTCTCCGCACGGGGTGGAAGGGGCTGAGGACGTACAGGGCTTTGGTGGCACTGAACCGGAAGATGGTTTTGCCTTTATTCAGTACAATGAAGGTCTGCAGACAGAGGGCTGAGTTAGGCGAGAGGCAGTGCTGGCTGGAGCCGGGGAACTCTGGCTGTGGGCGGGTGCAAGGAAGGACAGAAGAACAGAGGGAGGAGACGAGCCAGGAACGGGCTCCTGGGGCTAAATCCTTCTCTTCTGTGTGGGGAGCTGGGTGAGGTCAGGTTTAGAGGAAGGCCAGGCTGGTTGGGCTTTTAGTTTCGAAAGCAGTTTCTGACAAGAAGGGGCCTTTTGCGATCCAAGCCTGGAAGAGCCCTAAAAGGGTCTAGCTGATCCCTGCTTCTTCCCTTTTCCCTTTCTGACCCCTCTCCAACCTGCAATGTTTCTCCACCAGGCCTAGGGGTGGTGGGTCACGGGGAAAGGTTTACAGGGGCAGAGGGAGAGGTGAGGTGGATGTGGACAGTTCTCTGGGCCTCACCTCCCAGCCTGGACAGACAACGGCCCACAGAAGACGACTCAGAATCTCTCCCTGGAGGGATGATGATCAGCCCAAGATGGGGTTCCCCATCACAAGCCTCTAGAAGCTTCTGTCTACATAGCAGACACTGAGAGCTAGAGGAACGGCTGAGGAGGGGACAGCTGTGGTGTCTTGCTTCTCTCAGGTCAAAGCTGATGGCACAAGAAGGCCGCATAGTGGAGTGGACTTGGGAGGAGGGATTGTATAACAACGAAAGAATTTTTCTTTTACTTTTCAAAGAGAAGAGCGAACTGGGGTCGGGGGGAGGTTGGGCAGGGAAAAAAGTGCAACAGGGAGTGAATGGATTTTTTTTAAAGGTTCTATTTAATCTGAGCTGTGAAGACAAGTTTAACCAGATGTACAGGGGACAAAAATTCTGTCACTTGTCGGGCAGTGTGGCCAGGCTCAGGAGAGCGAACCAGAAGGTTAGTGGCCAGTGTCCCATGCCACTTCCAGCATTCCCAGTGGACATGGGGCAGAAGAGACAGCGTTCCTGACCTGTGCCAGGCTGGACTGTCTCCAGTTCCCAAATGTCCAGTCCCAAACCCGAGGTGCACCTGACCCCATGACTCAAGCCTGGTCTCAGCTTTCGCTCACCCAGTCCCCACCGTCCTCTCCCCGTCACCTTCTGTCACCACCAGCTGTGCCCTCAACCGCAAACCCTAGTTCTTATTTCCAGCTCATCAACCACCACCTAAGTCCACCTACCCTGAGTAATCTGAACTCTCAACCTCACCTGCTCCCAACCGTGGACCCCAGCCCTGGCCCTGGCCTCCCTGAGTCACTCGAACCAAGCAGAGGTCCAGGAGGAAGCCTGGCAGCAGGGCCAGCCCTGGGTCTCCTCTCTTGCCTCTGCTTATGGACTGGGGTGCGGGGTTCCCTTCACATGCTCACACCCCCCCCCACACCTGCACACCTGTGCGCATATGGCAAACTCATGCCCCCTGCCCATCGTTAGGACCTTGGTCTCTGACACACAGAGACACTCACGTTAGGTCTGGTGGCACAGATAGAGCATTTACACCCACCACGTGCTCACACTCATGCCACACCCACACATCAGATCTGAGCTGTGAACCCCGACCCCACCTACCCTACAGCGCTTCCTCGGTCCAGCTGCAACTGCAGTCATGGGCACCATGAAAGCTAAGCGCAGGAGTGAGTGATGGGGTTCTCCTGGGCACCAGCCTGCTGGGAAAGGCCTCACCCAAAATTCAAATGTACCTTCCTCCTGCAGTGAGGCCGGAAGTGTGGTGAGCCAGGTGGGGGGACCAAGCCACAGCCCACATTTTAGAGGGGAGTAGGACTGGAGAACATAGTCCCAACAGGTGAGGCCAGACAGGACAGGGGTCTGAGGGCAGGAGATGTGTTTCCCATACTGGGAGGGAGCCTGAGTTATAATGCCCTGTCAAAGGCACCTCTCTGCCTACAGTCTGGAGGGACAGGAGAGAATCACCCCATCCCAGCGCTTCTGGGAGTCATTCTCTTCACAGATGTTCCCCAGGACTCTGTTGTGGACCCAGCCTGGGCGACCCTGGCACTGTCCCCCATGCATTTCCCCTGCTTCTGGAGTGGAGGATGTAGGGGTACACACTGCCCCCTAACTCAGAGAAGGGACCCACAAGCTCTGTTCTTCAGTCCAAACTCAACTCAGGCAGAACTCAGAGCCCAACCACAAGAAGCCACAAAACTGGGGACACAGAGAAGTCCTCTGGGGGTGAGACCCTGACCACAGTCAACTCCAAAGTGGCCGGTCCACCACCTGGCAACATTTCCACTGTGGCCGCCCTCTCGCTGGTCTTCACAGCACCCAGCCAGCATCTCTGCCTCATTTTCCAGAACATCAACACTGAGGTGCATGGAACCAACATCACCATCACCCCCCGAATCCCAGGGGTGCCCGCCCCAGCAGAACCCGCACAGAGACCAGGCCCTCTCCTCGGCTGCTGTCGAGGTGGGCTGCATCACCTTCTGCGTGCTGTAGAAGGGGTCCAGGTCCTCCAGGGGCTCCCCGATGAGCTCGCGGGGCGGGTTGCCATAGAGATCCGGCAGCTTCTTGGAGGCCTGCAGGTCCAGCTGGGGCCGGGGCGCCTCCTCCTCGGGCAGCCCCTCGTGGCTCTCCTGCGAGGCGGCTGCGCTGCGGGCCTGCTTCTCTGCCATGCGTTTCTCGATGGCCGCCAGGGACTCCCGGGTGAACCTGCGGAAGCTGCTGGTGCCCCGAGGTAACAGGAAGTGTGCCATCTTCTCATCCTGCTTCTGGGGCACAGGCTCTCTTCACCCGCCTGTGGGGAGGCTGGGAGACAGATAGACACAGTGGACGTGAGGCTGGGAGACAGACAGACACGTTCGACGTGAGGCCGGGGCTCAGACACAGGGACAGGGGGCGGCCCTGTAAGGGATGTGGGTGCTGGAGGCCAAGAAGGCATGCAAAACACTTCCAGAAGCTTCTCTATAGGTTCAACTGGGTGACACAAACCTGTGGGCTGTGGAGTCTGCACTGAGACCCGCAGGAGGTCACACCCCCAACAACCTTTCCAAACATTTCAAAAGGACGTCTGGACACAAGTGGGCTAGAGTGACGGCGTCACTGCAATACCCTCACTCAGCTTGTAAGGGACACCTCAGTCTTCTACTACCTGCTCTTGAAACACGCCTCCCAATTGGCACCCACACACCCTGAGCTGAGGTGGGACAGGCTTCGGGGAAGCGATGGTCCTGCCATCCTTTTGTCCTGGCAGAGCTGGTCCTGAACAAACGACTGACTGGCTGAACGAATGATGGAGACTCCCACAGAAGAGGTGCGGGACAAGGACATCAGAGGCGCTGGTCACCCCTCAAGCCTGTCTCTTCTTACCGCGAATCTGGGAGCCCCTTGGTGGGTGGCCGCTCTCTCGGGAAGGGCCCCAGGCGGAGTGAGGGGGCTGGAGTGAGGGGACACTTTGATTCTACGGGGACAGGTGTCTAGACGTCACTGGGAGCACAGAAGGTGCCAACATCTGATGGGAGAGTGGTGTCTGATGAGGCACCTGTGGTTGTCATATGAGACCCAGACAAATCCTGTGGGTTTTGGGAAACAGCTGGCTGATGACTTCAGAGCTGTCAAGCAGATGCTGCTCCCCAGCGTGCACAGCTGTGGCGGGGTCCGCCGAGGACCCCAAAGGAATCCCCCTGCTCCGGCGCCCTCCCCACGCCCATCTGGTCCCACAGATGGCCGATGCTGACAGGGCGCCCCTGCAATCGTCCCTCTGCACAAACGGAACACCAGGCAGAACCAGAACCAGGTGGCCCTCATCAACCAGGGCACCCAGCTGGTTCCTGTGGGTGACGCTCAGCACGAACGCGTGGACAGGGTGGCCTTCAGCGGCGCAGGGCTTGGTGTGAACACCGGCCGCCTGTGACACCAAGGCTGAAGAATGTACTTGCTGATGGCCCCACCAACACAGGATGTGGGCACAGGAGGCCAGGTGACAGTGACACCAGCGGGGAGGCGACGTTGCTACTGACCACATCAAACTCGGGAAGGGCTGGGCACCAGCTCAAGAGGGCAGGGTGGACACCTGTTGGAGATTTCTGGCAAGACAGATGCCCTCTTTGTCAACCCAGGGCCAGCTCTGCCTTGATCTTAACCCCGAGACGAGAGCCACGTCACCAGTGACCACGATGAGCAGATCTTGTCCCTGGATCCCGTGCACAGCCAGGAAAGGGCCCCAGCTCCGAGCGCCGTGTGGTGCCATGAAGCAGGCACCTGGCCAAGTGACAGGTAAACAGTGAGAAAACACGGCACAGCCAGGCCTCAGAAGGGCACCTCTGGTCCCCAGGGCTGCGGGGAGCAGTGTGGAATGTGTGAGGGGGGGGAGGGGGGTAGGCCCCAAGACCCAGGCTTCGAGCACCCATCGTCCATCAACATCTTTCTCTTCTGGTTCATTCAGGTAAAGTCATAGGAGTATCTTCGTTGAAAATAGCAGGGGAGGGCGCCGACTCCCACTTTACCAAACCCTCCCCGGTCTCCTTTCACCTCGGAGTGAACAAAGGAGACGTCAGTAACGCTGCGGTCAAGAAAGAGTGGTGATTTTATTTTCCTGGCTGGTGGAAGCTTGGTGAATTTTAAACATTCTCCCTTATACGTTTGACTGCTTTATGATAAGTTTGTAGGTTTTTAAAAAAAAAATCCAATAAAATAATGATAATGATTCTTCTTATTTTAATAATAATAACAACAACAATAATATAGCCAGCCCTGGTAACAACGGCTTCTCCACCAGGAGCAATCACAGGAAATCAGGAAGCCACCTCTCTTGTCTGGAATGATCACCTAAAAATAGTGCTTGCTGCCTTCCCAGATCCGTCTGTGTCCGTATGCCTAGAAGGGTTCTGTGGTCCTGTGTACGCCTGGCACCTGCCGGAGCTCTGAACACATACACAGAATGTGAGCGTGCGAGTATGTGTGTGTGTGTGTGTGTTTGCACTTGTGAACATCTGTTCTAGTAATGGTGTTATTTATTTCTTAATTGGTGCTGAAGTAAACGATTCACGCAGACAGAGGCACACATTACAAGTGTACAGGCAGGGATCTTTTTACTGTTCTCAGTATTCCTGGGTGATGCGAACAGTTAATACACTCGAGGGGCTGAGAGGAAGGTTGGCCGTTCAAAACCACCCAGCAGCACCGTGTAAGAAAGGCCTGGCATTCTACTTTTGATACATCAGTCATCAAGTGCCCTAGACTGGGGCACAGCCCTGCACTGACACATATGAGGTCACTCCTAGTCAGAATAGATGGATAAGTAGCCAGTTAGTCACCTAGACACGGGTTAGTGCCCGTCACTGACTGGCTAAACACCCTCCTGACTGTTAATGGTTTTTCATATCTTTGTATTTCAGGGGCTCTTAACAGACCTCTTGTAGGGATAGGGAGGGAATGCAGGGAAAAATGACACCTCAGGCTTACTCACTTCTCACAGAAATTCAGTGTTTCCTTCAATTATGAATACAGGCAACAAACCTGAAGTATTGCAGTACCTGGATTAAAGAAATCACAGATACCTCCAGATGCCATGTCAGCCATTGCAGGTTACTTTTCAAGATAATTAATACTCCTCCCTCCTTAAAAATTATAGTACTTATCAGACCCACTGTGAGATCTTATTATTGAATATATTGATAAAGTCACACTTATATTACTCTATCAAAAAGTTCATTTTTTTAAACACTGATAGCTGTATTTTCCGTATAATTGGTTTCCTTTTTAATCTTCCACATCTTACTGCGTGGATTCGGAGGTGGGCTCTGCCGGCCTGGCAGTGGAAGGTTACGAGGCATGCCTGGATTCTGCTCAGATGCTGACCTGGGGAACCCGACAATGTCCATCCCCTCATCCAGGATGAGGTCACAGGATGAGGTGACCGCAGAGTCCTTTCTGGAATGCCCGGAGCTCTTGCTGCCAACTCTGCTTCAACATTGAGTCTCTGGTCATTTCTGGGTAGGGAAGAAGGGCCACACTGGAGCCTCTCCCAGGAGCAGCCTGGCTATGGGACCTCGGCTTGACCCCTAGGGCCTGACAGAGTCCACTCTGCTGGAATCTGGTGGAAGGAGCAGAGCCATCCGCTGTAAGGAGCCGAGGCCCCAGGTGTAGGGTGCAGATGGAAACCCAAAGGGTCAGTGTATAAGGTCATGAACCAAAGTACTATGGCCTAGCGGAAAGAAGCTGCGCTGCAATCCCAAAGGCACATGGTTTGAATCCACTTATCCACCAGCAGGATAAGAATGGGCAATCTCCTCCCTTGTAATTTACTGCCTCTGAAAACCTCTCTGGAGGGTCAACTATGAACTCAACAGTACACAACCACACACCCAAATACCACCATGTCTTTCCTATTCCTTCACCCCAAATTGTAGTGGCATCCTAGGCCCTAAAAGGGTCCTAACAAATCCACTTGCCTTCCGTAGAGTCCCTACACCTTAGGGCTCAGTGGTTTCACCCTGTAGGGTTCTGGGCCACCCAGGAAGCTGCTGAAACCAGATTCCAGTTAAAGCCCTTTCCCCCAAAGGCCTGGCAGCCTCAGGTTCCAAAGTAAACCCACCCGGGGAGTCTTTTGTCCCTGGGCCCTGCTGGCGGCTCGGATCCTTTTCTCCCTTGTTCTCCTGCCACCTGCACCTGCCTGGGGCTCTGCCCTTCCTTCTCTCGGAGCCCACGCCCTGCTGTGGCCCAGCCTGGCTCAGTCTTGGCTGCAGGGTTTCCAGGGATGCCAGCGTGGGGAGGGCACAAGTGTGGTCTGAGGGCAGGCTCAGCTCAGCCGGAGGCCCAGGAGGTCAGGGAAGCGCCCACCTCTGGTGGCGGAAAACCATGAAGGAAGCCAGCTTGAGCAGAGGCTCTGCCGGTTCAGTGCCAACGTGAGGGGAAGTTGAACCTGACCATCATCATCGACCGCCAGCTACCCTCCCCAAGTGCACACGAGTCCCCTAGGCCAGGACAACCCCTTCATCTGCACCAGGCTGAGACTGCTGTTCCTGGCCACTTCCCTCTCTCCTGTAGGGCTCGCCGGAGCCCTGGGGACCTGCCTCCATCCTGTTCCATGCTCATCCGTCCCTGGTTACCAGCACATCTCAAGTCCTTAGGGTTTCTGAGTGAACGGGAGTGACTGTGAATCCTACTTTTCTAACTGGCTTCACCTGATATCTCTCTCCCAACAGTGGCCTCAATCTCCTTGTCAATCCATGTTGTAATCTTTATGCCCAGGCTACTTCCCCAAGGCTGACATCTCTGCCCCTTCCAGGGCACAGCAGTGCTCTGGGCTGGTTCTCTACCCGCTCCATCTTCCCTGCTGTCCCACATATATAAATGCCACCACTCTACGGCTTCAACATTTCCAGATAATCTCCCTGCTCTGACTTGGGGCAGTCATCTCACGCTGTTCTCACTATCTCACCTCCTCCAGGACACCTTCTCTGATTGCCCCACCAGCACTAACCACCCTCTGCTCTGGGAAGCTGAGTTCACCCCCCATCTTTGTCTCCTTCCTCACTTTGGTTCGGCTTTGTGAGGCCACAGAGTGAGGCTGGTCACCCAGACAGTCGGGAAGCCAGGCCGGGCTGCCTCTCCACTGCAGCACAAGCTTGAGGGTTCACATCAAGGCAGACATCCCGTGGTGGGAGAACATTGACTGTTCACACTCAAAACTGCGCCCTGCACACAGCTGGCGCTCAATCGATGCTGGCGACGGCCCTGTCACAGGACAGAAGCACCGCGCCATCCGGAGGGCTGTCCAGGGGAGGGACGTCAAGGAGGTGCCCACCACG